TTGCATGGGCTTGTTTAATCTCTACAATCTCCCAATTGAAACCCCTAACAAGTTCTGGGCAGTGAACTAGGTTTAGTGAGAGATATTGAAGCCTTATACGTCGTGTATTCAGAACCTCGTTGTATGCTCGAGACATACGTCCAACCCTATCTATTGTTAACCTGACATAACGACTACGTCTCGATCGAGAGAATGATTGCCATGAGCGGCATACGGAGCCGATGATCTTTCTCTGCATCTCGGCACGATCTTGTAGTGCCTCTTCTTGTTCAAAGGATCTTCTGATCGAGTATGCTGACCAGTCACTCCCTTCGAAGGTAGTTGAGAAGAAGAGTGGATTGTGGAGATCGATGGCTTCATCCAAAATTATCGACCATATTTCCCCTGGGATTCGATGTAGGGCGGATTCGTATTGCTCAGTCATGGTGCCGTGTTATGGGGACCTCGACAGGATGATATGAAGGCTAATAAAGGAGTTTATTGAATAGGGAAAGATAAGGGAGTGTACAAATAGATGTGCCAGGCTCCAAGTTGTCTGCTGCTTGCGAGGGTCATCAGCTATGTGTTCATAATATTGATAGCGCAGAGGATGTACATCCATCTAATGCCTAGTTAGCGTAGAGCGGAGAAAAGTAAGCCTTTGATACTTGCCTACCAAATTCAGGCGGCTCGCGCAAGAGGGAGCAGTGTGTTCTCGACTTGGGCTCAACCTCATATGACGTTTGACTAGGAGTCTATCGACCATTCGTCACAACTGGTGCAACCATTGATTGATGGTTCTAGGCTAGAACAAGCAACTGGAGGCGCGTACAGTTGGCGCCACCGGTCGGATCTGCCACGCCCTGGTTGTACGGTTGAACAACGGGTGCAACTGCCCATTAGCAACCAGTACAAGAAGAATGTTAGCCACTTGTAATCACGGAATGGGAGACGTCTAGTGCCACCCGTGCCTCCAGGCTGCCCCATGTTGAGCAGGCAACGAGGCAGCAATGTGACCATAGAGGAGACGGGTCGTCTCGCCTGCGATCCAGCAATCAGATGATCGATAGACGCTTTCGTGGGTGTAGACGCATTTAGTTCGGGTATATGGGGAACAACAGTGTAAGCTATGGCTGTACGCATATTCTGAAGGAGTACTGATCGTGATCGCAGGTTCGGTGCCATCGAGGGTTAGGAAGGCGTGCAGTATGCATGTACGATCGATTAGGACGCCGTAGCCATAGCCTTGGCTATTTTGCAAACGTCGTCGGTGTGCCCACCAGCATGCATAACAGCAGCCGTCGCGCTCGACAAAGTGGAAAAAGGCGATGAAAGGGTTCAACGATTTGATGAAAAAAATGGCGAATGAAATTTTGGTGGGCGACCCTAGCACAAAGAATGCCGGATCATTGAAGATTGAACGCCATGCCGTTCTCACGTGTTTATGCGAAGCCAAAAAAGGTTTTTATTTGGCCCAAGCAATCTGCCTTATTGACCCATCCAAACCCAACAACCTTTTTCTCGACTTTTACCCTCCTCACCTCCTCATCATTCCTCTCTCCTCCGGCCTCGTCCTCAAGAATTGTGTTTGAATCCATACTGGTCTGTCTTTTCATACATGTCTCGATGCAGACTCTGATACCGCTCACCAATCCAGTACTATCACCATTTTTTGTCTCTTTTTTACTATAATCACATCTCTCGACAAAGATCATAACATCAATGGCCGCTACCCAAATCATGCTTCAGTTCCCTCCAGGACTCAAGATACACGAACCTAGCTCGTTTGTGCTCACACTAAAGGGCGGAAAAGACCCCCTTCGAGGACCAGCCGCAGCCTCTTCACCAGCCATCATCATTGCTCAATCGCAGCCTTCCTCCTCGACCGCCTCCCGCTCCCCTTTGTGCCCAGCTTTGCCACTTGCCTGCACCATCCAACCCCGCATCCACAACTTGCACATCACTGCGCGGATGCTGTTAAAGCCACGAAGGTCGTACGGAGTCGAGGATTCCAGCCGGTTACGAAAGAAGCTCGGTCATGCCGCCGTTATGGTGGCGTGCGCCCGCCTACGACGAGACAGACGGAAAGCAGCGATAGAGACCGCGGAGTTTGCCAGAATGTTCAATTTTACGGGTGAATGGGCAGGCGGCTGCCTCCTATGAAACCAAAGAAAAACCAACCCCCTTGCTATTATCGAGTGTGTGTGATTATATATCTCCCCCTACGAAAAAGAAGAGAGGTGGACGCGGTGCGCTACCCTCTTCGGTATCACGGTGGTGATATTCCTTCTT